GATTGAAATTTGAGGCTGATGATTTTGTTGAGGGGGCTGCCCTGTGCACTACAGGTTGCTTAGCAGCATGCCTGCTGCCACTAGATGACAGTGACAGTTTCATCCAGTTGCGACAACCAAAAATGTTCCAGACGTTGACAAATGTCCTCTGGGGGACAAAATTGCATCCCATCCTTTAGAACCATTGTCCTAGGCCAAACCATTCTGAGAATAAGAATCACCTAGGGGTTATTAAAACTAGATTTCTAGGCTGGGTGCAGTAACTCACACTTATAATCCCAGCACTTTGGGAGGCTGAGGTGGGGTGGAGGGGGGCTCTCAAGGTCAGGAGTTCGAGACCAGCCTGACCAACACGGTGAAACCGCGTCTCTACTAAAAATACAAAAATTAGCTGGGTGTGATGGCGCATGCCTGTAATCCCAGCTACTCAGGTGGCTGAGGCAGGAGAATTGCTTGAACCCAGGAGGCAAAGGTTGCAGTAAGCTGAGATCATGCCATTGCACTCCAGCCTGGGCGACAGAGCAAGACTCTGTCTCAAAAGCCACCACCACCACCACCACAACAACAAAAACTAGATTACCAGACTCTTCCCCTAGAGATTCTTATTTATTCTGCCCAGATCATGAACCTGCAATGTGAATTTTTTAAATGCTCAAGGTATTCTTACTGGAGAAATGTGAGAACTGCTATAGGAGGGACAAGGAACCAAAAGAGGTCTGACCTGCTCATTTTGTGTTTCAGTAAGATCCTCCCAGAAGCAGTTGGAAGATAAATTGGGTAGGATGTGAGGGGAAGAGAATAGAATTGGAGGCTATTACTTAAATTCATGTGAGAAATAATAAGGGGGTTGTATAGGGCAGTGGTGGTAGGGATGCATTCCAAAGATATTTCTAAGGCAGAATCAGTGAAATTCGTGATGAACTGGATATTGGGAAGAGGAAGACTTAAGAAAAAAATTAAAGAACTTTTATACTTCAAATGATATCGAGTGAAAAGACAATAGGCAAAATGGGAGAAAATATTTGCAAATTATATATAAGAAAAGGGACTTGTATCCAGAATATATAAGGACACTTACAACCAACAATAAAAAGATAAACAACCCAATTAAAAAATGGGCATGGCCGGGCGCGGTGGCTCACGCCTATAATCCCAGCACTTTGGGAGGCCGAGGCGGGTGGATCACAAGGTCAAGAGATCAAGACCATCCTGGTCAACATGGTGAAACCTCGTCTCTACTAAAAATACAAAAATTAGCTGGGCATGGTGGCACGCGCCTGTAGTCCCAGCTACTCGGGAGGCTGAGGCAGGAGAATTGCTTGAACACAGAAGGCGGAGGTTGCAGTGAGCCGAGATTGCGCTATTGCACTCCAGCCTGGGTAACAAGAGCAAAACTCCGTCTCAAAAAAAAAAAAATGGGCAAAGATCTGAAATGACATTTCTTCAAAGAAGATACTCAAATGGCCAATAAACACATGAAAAGATGCTCAACATTGTTAGGCTTTATGGAAATGCAAAGCAAAACCACAGTGATATACCACCTCATACCCACCAGGGTGGTTAAAATCCAGAAGACTGATTATGACAAGTGTTGGCAAAGAAGTGGAGAAATTGAATCTCTCACTCATTGCCGGTGGGAATGTAAAATGGTGTAGTCCTTATGGAAAACAGTCTGGCAGTTATTCAGATGGTTAAACGGAGTGACCATATGACCCAGTGTCTACCTACTCCTAGGTAGATACCCAAGACAAATACAAACAGGCTGGGGGCGGTACACCTGTAATCTCAGCACATTGGGAGGCTGAGCTGGAAGGACTGCTTAAGCCCAGGAGTTCGAGACCAGCCTGGGCAACACAGTGAAACCTCATCTTTACAAAAAATTTAAAAATTAGCTTGGCATGGTGTTGCATACCTGTAGTCCCAGCCACTTGGGAGGCTGAGGTGGGAGGACTGTTTAAGTCTAGTAGTTGAGGTGTCAGTGAGCTGTGTTCATGCTACCACACCCTCATCAGAGTGACAGGGACCTCAGCTGTTTAAATAAAAAAAGTTCCTATGAAAACTTGGAAAAAAATATTAATAGGAGGCCTATTCATATAATGGGCAAAAAGTGGGCAACAACCCAAATGTCTATACATTAAGGAAACGTGTTATATTAAATATCAATACAGCGAAATGTCATTCATTTAACATTTTAATACATATTGCTGTATTAAATATCAATACAGCAATAAAGGGAAATAAAGTGCTGGTACATACTGCAACATGATGAACTTTGAAAACGTTATGCTAAGTGAAAGCAGCCAGTCTCAAAAGACCACATATTATATGACTACATATTTATAAAATGTCCAAAATAGAAAAACTAGCCGGGCATGGTAGTTTGCGCCTGAAGACCCAGCTACTTGAGGCTAAGGCCAAAGGATCATTTGCAGAACTAAAGGGACACACAGTAGCTTAATGGTTGCCTAGGGGTGGAGTAGGGCATAGATTAGGGGAAAGGGCCGTGATTACTAATAGGTTTTTTTTTTTTTTGAGATAGAGTCTTGCTCTGTCACCCAGGCTGGGGTGCAGTGGTACGATCTCTCCCGGGGTTCAAGCAATTCTCCTGCCTTAGCCTCCCAAGCAGCTGGGACTACAGGTGCGCACCACCACGGCTGGCTAATTTTTGTATTTTTAGTAGAGACAGGGTTTCACTGTGTTGACTAGGCTGGTCTCCAACACCTGACCTCAAGTGATCCACCTGCCTTGGCCTCCCAGTGTTGAGATTACAGGCGTGAGCCATTGGGCTCTGCCAAGGTTTCTTTTTAGAATGACACAATGTTCTGAAACTGATTGTGATAATAATTGCACCACTGTGAATATACTAAAGACCACTGAATTGTATCATTTCTTTCATTTTTCTTTAATAGGAGATGACTGTCTTGCCATATTGCCCAGGCTGGAGTGCAATGGCCATGATCCCATTACTGATCAGCCCAGGAGTTTTGATCTGCTCTGTTTTGGACTTGGGCAGAGTCCTCTTTCTTGGGCAACTTGATGGTCTCCCCCATCCTCTGTAGACACCCATGGGTACAGTGCACTACTGCCCAGAACTGGACTTGAGCAAGTCTCTGACCTCAGCTTCCTGTAGCTGGGACCACTGGCATGTGTCACTGCGCCCAGCAAATTGTATTCTTTAAAAATGGGTGAATTGTAATGGTATATGTGTTAAATCTCAATAAAGTTGTTAATTGTTGTTTTAAAGCTTGAGTTTCTAGCTTTAATAACTGGAAACATGGTGTCACCATTAGCCAAAACTGGGAATACAGAAAGAAGAATGTGTTTGGGAGAAAAATGAGCCTTGGGCACAGTGTGTGGCTGTGATAAGCACACAGTGAATGTCCTGTTCTGGAACACAGAAAAGATGGCCAGGAGACAATAATGCAAACATTCATTTATTGAGCATTTGTTACATAGCAGGTGCTGTGAATATGTTGTTTACCTACACTGCCTGGTAGGTTGCATATGTATACCGTGTATTGTTTCTGCTCTTTCTCTTTCCCTGTGTAAGTCAATGAGAGAAGGGCCTTCATCTCTCTTGATGCTGTCTCCCAGCACCTACAGCACAGGCTGGCAGAGAGTCGGCATACAGCATTTACTGGGTGAATAGAAATGCAGTATCTTTTAACCCTGATAACAATCCTTTGTGGTAGGTTTTTGTTCCAATTTCACTAGTTTTCTTAAGACCACAAAGCTAGTAAGTGACAGTAGTCTGTCTGCATTCCAAGTCACAATGCAATGCTACAATCTCTCAGTCTCCCAGAACGAATCTGGAATAAAAGAAAGCAGTAGAGAAACCCAATTTCTGCAAATTCATCATAACTACATATGAATATCCAACTGGGTTAGGTGTTGGAGTTAATACAACCACGAAGTGGACAAGAATCTGAAGAAAAATACATTTAAGACAAAATCCATAAGACTTGGCTCATAACCTTGCTAATTCATGAAGATCTTTCACACATATTACCTTATTTAACCCCCCACAAAATCCCTAATAAGTAGGTTTTATTACCATTCCAATTAGGCTTTTGTCCTTCACTTAAACTGTGCTCCCCAAGGTGACATCCGTGTTGCCAAATGCAACAGGTACTCACTTCAGGCGCGACATTTAAGGGAGCACCAAAAAACTAAGTGATGAAGATGAATAACATTTTTATTTTCTAAAATTAAAATTAATGCAAAACATACATGAATAACAGAACACCAAAATTTAAAATAAAGAGGATCCTAAGTACTGGGTCCACCCACCAACGGAACGCCTCATTCACGGTAGGACTGAATGACCTCGAACTAAAGGGGTCACGTACTTCCTGCTTGTGAGGCTTCTGAGCACGAAGGCCGAGGAACTTCAGGGGGAGCCATTCTGCCCATCACCCCTAATTCCAGCGTGCACCACGCAGGTGGGAACTGAGCCGGTGCTTTTGGAAAAGACTGAACTGGGGATGCTTGTGCCCGTGCATATATGTGTTGCACACGGGCGAGCGCACGCTTCTTTTTGCAAGTCCTGGTTCAGGACAGGGGAGAGTACTGCTTTAGAGTACGCACCCTGAGCTCGGACTTTGCGCTCGCAGACTGAGGCGCCAGGCTGCATGCATGTGAAGACAAGCTCAGAATTCTTTACTGTACAAGCGGCAGGTGGAGTGCAACTCTTTTTGGTGCCTCAATCCGAGACGGGGCCACGCCATTCCCTGCGAGGTAGCAGAGGGACCTAATCGAACACTGAGAATCTCCGCGGGACCCCTTAACTACGTTTTCCCGTAGCTATCGGAGGTAGAGAAACTGCAGCGGGATAAGCCCTAACGAGGACTGTGAAGCAAAGTACAGCGGAGGTGCGGAGAGCTGAGGAGCGTCTTCTTTCGCTCCGCCCCGCCTCTTTTCTTGTCTCCGGCCAATTGCCGCGCTCTCCGAGTCTTGACCCCGCCTCCTCCGGCCTGCGGCCCCGCCCACGCCGGTAATAATTAGGGTGCGGGCGGGGGCCGTCGCGTCAGCGCCGGGAGCCGGCCAATCCAGTGGCTCTCCTTGGCGGTCGCGTCATAAGCCGAACAGCCAAACAGAAAAGTTTAATAAACAGCGGACGGAAGGGCCGCGGCGGCTGAGCTGGAGCGAGCAGGGTTTCGGCAGCCTCACCTGTCCCCATTCACCGGAGGTACCGGCGGCGGCGGGAAGCATCTCAGGCGGAGAGAGCCGCCGCCAGGTGAGAAGCGGGGCCTGGCCGGCCCGGCGCTGCCCCTCCCCCGCCCGCTCCCTTCCCCCACCGGGCTGAGGCGAGGCGAGGCCCGCCCCCGGTCCCTCCCGGCTCCCGCGAGCCGGAAGCGGAGGGCGGCTGGACGGCGCGCAGGTGGTGGGCCCGCCGGGGCCGCGAGGGCGAAGACTCCCGGCTCCGCGGAGAGGGGCGGTGCGAAGAGCGGCGGGTTAACCTCAGACGCGGCGCCGGTGGCCCGGGGCCGCTTCCTGTCAGGGTGGGCGCGCCGGGGTCGGGAACCTCAGTTTCTCAGGGCCGCGGAGCCCGCGATGCGCGCTGCCCGAGTGGGTTGGCGGGCAGGGGTCGGAAGGGTTCGGAACACTCTCGGGCGTGTCAGCCCCGCCTCCGAGTCTCGGGTTTTCTTCGGGATGTTTTTCCACCTGCAGTGTTTTCAGAAATGAGCCCGGGGGCAGCCCGGAGTCTCCAGCTCGCTCTGACTGGCGCCGGGAAGGGAATTGGTCGTCTTTCCCTGCTTGGGTTTAGCTTGCTTAGGATTCTGAATTTTCTGTCTGCTCTTTTGAAATAGTTATTTTCAAGTTTTTGTCTCTAGCTACCTAAAGAAGTACAAAAGAATGTGGCGTTTGAAATCATTTTAACTTGGTGTCGAAGTCATGTGCTAACCACACAGTTGGGACTCTATGATTTACCTTCGTAACTCGGAAGTTGTGACCAGTTGTGACGAAGTTAGGGCCTTGGGGTTACCTACAGATAATTTATATTAAGTTGTTTGGCCCTGAAAACTGGGCATAATAGGCCAGGCGCGGTGGCTCACGCCTGTAATCCCCGCACTTTGGGATGCGGAGGCGGGCGGATCACGAGGTCAGAAGATCGAGACCATCCTGGCCAACATGATGAAACCCCGTTTCTACCAAAAATACAAAAATTACCCGGGCGTGGTGGCGCGCGCTTGTAACCCCAGCTACTCGGGAGGCTGAGGCAGGAGAAATCACTTGAAACTGAGAGGCGGAGGTTGCAGTGAGCCGAGACTGCCCACTGCATGCACTCCAGCCTGGGGGACAGAGCAAGACTCCGTCTCAAACCCCAAAACAAACAAAAAAACATTGGGCAGAATTAATTATTTTGATGCTCCGAGAAACAGGGTTAAATTCCTCTTTCTTTTTTTTTTTTGAGACGGAGTTTCGCTCTTGTTACCCAGGCTGGAGGGCAATGGCGTGATCTCGGCTCACCGCAACCTCCCCCTCCTGGGTTCAGGCAATTCTCCTGCCTCAGCCTCCTGAATAGCTGGGATTACAGGCACGCGTCACCATGCCCAGCTAATTTTTTGTATTTTTAGTAGAGATGGGGTTTCACCATGTTGGCCAGGATGGTCTCGATTTCTTGACCTCGTGATCCACCCGCCTCGGCCTCCCAAAGTGCTGGGACTACAGGCTTGAGCCACAGCGCCCGGCCCTTAAATCCTCTTTCAAACCAATATCAGAATTCGATTTTTTAAAAGTGTGAAATACCTAAACTTTTAAGGTTTTAAAATATATTTAAAGAGAAACAGATTATAAATGTGCAGGAGGAAAGTAACAGGAGTTGATGGATTTATTATCCTGTAGTGGTAACTTTCTGGGTGTATGCATGTCAGAATTTACACATTTTGCACTTCAAATACGTGTGCACTTTATTTTCAAGTATATGTCAGTAAAGGTTTTAAGAAGTAATCAAAATATATTTAATACCACAAAAAAGTACATAACACAGTGAAGTATGAACAGATAAAACTTCATAAATCCTTGACTCCTCCCACAAACCCAAAACTGGAACATTACTAAAACTTGCATTTGCCTATGAGTTTCTTATCCAGTGGATTTTGTGTACGCCACTTCGCGACTTTTTGAAAAGTAGTTTTGTCACATATGTTTGTATGCCCAAACAGTGTGGTATTTAATTTGCTTTTCTTTTGAGCTTTATAAAAATAGTATGTGGGTGTAGTTCATTTCATTGCTTTATGATATGTTAATCTGCCATAAGTCATGGGCAGTTAGACCGTGTTTTCATTGTTTTTAAAATTTTGTTTTTCTATAAACAGTCTTGCTCTATGAACATTTCTTGTTTCCGGCTCTTTGTACGCGAAGTACAAGAATTTCTCTAGAGTAAATACTTAACGTGGATTGCCTCGGAAGGTATTAGGTAATCAGGACTAGAATAGATAGAAATACTTAGAAATAAAATGAATGAAAAGCATTCGGATTCTGTATTATGTTTAAATGGAAGATTCATCACCATAGCGATTGAACTAAGCATTTGCATGAAAAACCAAAATTCTTGTTAACCTGTATATAATGACTCTTCTTTTGAAGTCACATTGTAGAAAGTCTGGCACTGTTTGGTGTCTCCTTTTCAATGCAAAAATAGTATGGTAGAAAAAACACTGGATTGTATGTAAAATAAATTACTCTCTCTGCTGTTCCTCTCCTCCCCTCTAATCTCTAGCAAATTACTTAAAAATTTCTCTTGTGCCTTAGCATAGTCATATAAAAGAAACTTGGCCTAAGCTTATCCTTCCAGTTTTGCACAGACTTTAGTTAAGGAAAACACCTGTCAAATGGCATGCCCTTTGAGGGAAAGCATTAGGACCAAGGTGTTATTCTGTGGAATTATATTTTGTGTCCTTTAGAACATTTTTTGAAAAGTTGTGTGGCATTTCAGGATTTGTTAACTCCATATTTATGTTTTAAATCAGAGAATGCCACCGAGGATCTGTTTCATTATACTAACAGAGACACAGTGACAAATTAGGGAATAGTGTTTCCTTAATATACTGACGATGGATGTGTTTGTATGTTTTGTGTTTCATTCTTGTAAATGAGAATTTACATATAGCTTTGAATAACCTTTTTGTTTGAAGCCTGGAGTAGAGATGGTTTCATTTTTTAAAATATATAGTTTGGAGAGAAATATCAGGATGCTTTGTTTTGATAGGGCTGTATTCTGCTTTTAAAAAGCTCATTTTTTATTTGATTATAAGGGCAGTGTGTGTATGGAGTTCCCCCCCACCAAACTGTGAGAAAGAATAGAAAGTTACTAAGAAAAGCCAATCATAGATGACCGTTGTTAACATTTTGTCAGGTATATCCCTGGTCTTTGTGGGGTTTTTTTCGTTTTCTTTTTCTTTTTTTGGGGGATAGAGTCTCGTGTCGCCAGGCTGTAGTACAGTGGTGCCATCTCTGCTCCCTGCAACCTCCGCCTCCTGGGTTCAAGTGATTCTCCTGCCTCAGCCTCCCAAGTAGCTGGGACTACAGGTGCCTACCACCATACCGCTCAGCTAATTTCTGCATTTTTAGTAGAGACGGGGGTTTCACCATGTTGGCCAGGGTGGTGTCCATCTCTTGACCTCATGATCTGCCCTCTGCGGCCTCCCAAAGTGCTGGAATTATAGGTGTGAGCCACTGCGCCCAGCCTGTGTGTGTGTTCTTAATATCCTAAACTTAAAGAGTTAATTCTAAACATTGTCAGGCTGGCTCTTCAGAACTTATCCCAAATGTAATCTGCCTCACCTCCTTGTTTTATATAAGATGGTAATAGAAGTCATCTAACTGGTACCGCTGCTTCAACTTTTCTACTCTTCTGCTTCATTTGAATGTGTAAGTTAGAGTATCTTACTTTCCGACTCAAAACCCTCCAGTAGCTTTTCAATATGCAAAATAAAATTGAAACCTCATACTGTGGCTTATATACCTCAGACCAGCAAAATCCACTAGAAATAGAACTCTAGTCACAAATGGGAGCTTCGTTAAGTAATTTAAAATTTTCTGATAGCCCCATTATGAAAAAAAGAGAAACTGGTGAAATACATTTTATTTAACCCTGTCTTTATAATTTGGTGTGTATTTTCCACTTACAGTATATCTCATTTTGGACTAGCTACCTTTTTATTTTGGGACAGTGTCTTGCTATCTCCCAGGCTGGAGGGCACTGGTGCAATCTCAGCTCACTGCAACTTCCGCTTCCCAGGTTCAAGTGATTCTTGTTCCTCAGCCTCCTGAGTAGCTCGGACTAGAGACACACATCACCCCGCTTGGCTAATCTTTTTTTTTTTTTTTGAGACGGAGGCTGGAGTGCATTGGTGCCATCTTGGCTCGCTGCACCCTCCACCTCCTGGGTTCATGGTATTCTGCTTCAGCTTCCCCAGTAGCTGGGACTACAGGTATGTGCCACCACACCCAGCTAATATTTGTGTCAGGGTTTTGCCATGTTGGCCAGGCTGGTCTCAAACTCCTGACCTCAGGTGATCCATCTGCCTCGGCCTCCCAAAGTGCCAGCATGACAAGCATGAGCCATCGTGCCCGACCTGACTTTTGTGTATTTTTAGTAGAGACCAGGTTTCGCCATGTTGGCCGGGCTGGTCTTGAACTCCTGGTCTCAGGTGATCCGCCGGCCTCAGCCTCCCATAATGTTGGGATTACAGGCGTGAGCCACCATGTTCAATCCGAACTAGTCAAATTTCAAGTCCTCAGTAGCCATGTGTGACTAGTAGTTAACCACATGGACAGTTCCATCTTATAAAATACTGTAACTTGGCCGGGCGCGGTGGCTCATGCCTATAATCCCAGCTCTTTGGGAGGCCGAAGTGAGTGGATCACGAGGTCAAGAGATCGAGACCATCCTGGTCAACAAGATGAAACCTCGTCTCTACTAAAAATACAAAAATTAGCTGGGCATGGTGGTGTGCGCCTGTAGTCCCAGCTACTCGGGAGGCTGAGGCAGGAGAATTGCTTGAACCCAGAAGGCAGAGGTTGCGGTGAGCCGAGATTGTGCCATTGTACTCCAGTCTGGGTAACAACAGCGAAACTCCGGCTAAAAAAAAAAAAAAAAAAAAGGTACTGTAACTTAACTAGTTATCAGTTGGGTTTAACTTACATTAGTTTATTATTTTTTTCTTATAAGTAGTGTGATAAGAGCTACTTCTATGTATTTTACATTATTTCTTTAGGATTTAGTCTGTC